AAAAAAAGTTCTGAACTAAAACGATGAATCGGCTTTTAGGGTAGAAATCCGCATTTTCGATAGGTTCATAACTTCATAGGGCAACTCACGGAGTTGCCACCAAACCGAACCAGCTCATTTAATTTAATTTCTATTTACCTTGATTAATTTTCTGGTTTTGTGTTAAAGCAAATTCGTTTTTATTATTGCCTTGAAATCGAAAATCGTACAAACGAGAGCTTAATTACTTATTCATGATTTTATGAAGATGTTGAAAATATGTTCATTTTCATGTGTGAATCAATGGAAATGTTAAAGTTGATTTGATCCGGTAAGCAAAGTTTAAATATTTTTAGAAAATATAATCAGCATATTTTGAAAAATTATTGGTGGGTTGCCAACTGCCGCTCCTCCTCTAACATATTAGCTCTGATCCAATACTTTTCGCGTAAAATACTGTAAAAATGTAAAACAGCAAAATTACTCACTGAAGTGAGAGTAAAAAGTGAGTAAATAACCAACCAGTACGGAAACAAAAAAGCATTTTCGTTTAAAAACGTCAAACAGCTTATCGCTTGACACTGTTCATAACTAGTTTTACCAGAACAAAAAAGTTCGGGTAAAATCTTGAAACTTCATTATCTATACAACTCTCCAAAAATAGCCATTCACAGAATTATGGAGTATGGGAAAAATTTTCCTTTAATTTCCTGCAAGTTTTCGTTTTCAAATTATATGAAGAATCCCTCGATTTTATATTATCTCAATTAAAAATTAATTAATTATGTCCTTCCGTCAGCAAATGTGTTTTTTTTTTTCNACTAGTTTTACCAGAACAAAAAAGTTCGGGTAAAATCTTGAAACTTCATTATCTATACAACTCTCCAAAAATAGCCATTCACAGAATTATGGAGTATGGGAAAAATTTTCCTTTAATTTCCTGCAAGTTTTCGTTTTCAAATTATATGAAGAATCCCTCGATTTTAAATTATCTCAATTAAAAATTAATTAATTATGTCCTTCCGTCAGCAAATGTGTTTTTTTTTTTCATTCTGTCTTTTCATATTCAGCAATTCAATGTCTATTACAAGGCTAATGGCGCTTAACTTTACCCAGCTGTTTTAAGAGAGTGCGANACAAGGCTAATGGCGCTTAACTTTACCCAGCTGTTTTAAGAGAGTGCGAAAAATACGTTCATACTGGTCGTGTTTTATTTGTCCAGAAATTTAAGCTATTAGCTTATTTTGTATGGAGGACTTACCCAACATAATTATATTGGCTTATGAAAAGCTATCTTGGCTTGTATGTATATTGAACAAGGGGCATTGCCATTCAGCATCAGAAATTTTCTCCTTCAACCAATCAGAAAGAGGCAAAAACTTACTTTGACACTATTTGCAGTCAAACAACATAGGAAATAAGCTAATTTCGTTTTATTTGACCAAGATTTAGCTATTTGCTTGTGATGGTTGAATAAAACATGCCTACTATTGTTTAATGCGAATGCTAAGCAAATATTGACATTATTGTTGCTTCGTTATACGCCTGAAAATATTTTATACATACATATGCACGTTCGTGTTGTTCTACTTTCTTGCTTGATCTTAACATTAATAAATATGGTGTACCTACTTTCACGGAATATTGTTATTATCACCGATAATTAGGAAGTATTAAATAGGCATGTAAGTACTTTAAAAAATTCACGAAATTTATAATTATTGAAAATGCACCCCAAAAAAAAAGTGGTGAATATTTCCTTTATTATTAAGAAAGCAGTCCATAAACAAAACAAGTTACGAAGAAAACTCGATTTTGGTTAATTTATATAGTCACGTAAGCTCCTTATGGTGGGAAATAAAAGGAATGCTAGTTGTTAAAACGTTAAGCTCTCAAAAGGTAGACGGCGACTGGACAATGTCTCTCCTTGAATCAGTATCTATAGATATTCCAAGGCGAAATCCGTAGAAACCGCACTTCACGAAATCGTATCGAGTATTGAAAAAGGATTGGCCATGAAGGAACACACGCTGGGAGTATACCTCGATATTGAGAGAGCCCTCAATAATGTCTACCCGGAATATGTTATTAATTCCCTTATAATTATTATCTTAGATTATAAACTTGACTGAAAGCGAAACATCGAAGACCGCTCCAGGAAAGCCATTTAGAAAAAAAATATGCGTAAACGGGCATAAAGTATTAATAATCCGCATACTAATCAAGGATCGAGAGCAATAGTTAAATACTTTTAGGTCTTTTTTATGCGGTACATGCGTTCCTTAGAAAGCCGCATAATAAAAATCCGCATAAAAAAGTTCATCATTTTCATACCAAAAAACAGGGAATGCGTTCCAGCATTTTCAAAAACCGCATAATTTCAGATACAAAAAAAAAAATACCACAATAAATACATGAAATATGTAAGAATACAAAGATAAATTAATCATCAGAAACATTGTCTCTTACAGACTGAAAAAAATAATAACAACTCTCAAAAAAGCAAATTCGCTACAGCGAAGAAATGGTTTGAAAAACCGCATAAATTAAAATCCGCATAAAAAACTCGCATAAAAAGAGACCTACGTGTATAAAGATTTTTATTTTTAGATCATTGCAAAATGGTTTTTTTTTTTTGGTTGGTAAAATTTAATCGATATTTTGTGCTTTTTCTTTTTTTCTATTAAAAATAATCGTTATTCTGGATTCTTATTTTTCGAAAAATTTTTAACCGTTATAATGGAGGCTGAATTTTTATGACATAAAAAATTTTATGATATAAAAAATTTTATCTAGTGGTCGAAAAAATTAAATTCTGAAAGGAAGGGTCATTATGTTTCGAAATAATAAAAATCATAAAATTAAGGTTAAATTGGACGGATAATGAAAATCTAGTTTAACGGTAAAATTTTTATTTGTATTATTAAGTTCAAAACCGTTACAGTCCCTGATATTCATAGAAAATTTAAGACTTTTCATTCATAAAATTTGTATGGGATTGCCATGCGTAGAAAATTTAATTTCATCAACTAAATACAACAGAATGAATACGAGGCGACACTGGTTAAACTTTAAGGTTACATAAAAATTTAAAAAAATTCTACCCAAAAATGACTAAATAATGCATTCATCCGCTAATATGGTGCATAGGGTTGCCAACTAAAAAAAATATCCAACGATTATTTTTTTAGCCCGCACTAGGCACATGCCTGTTTGCTGCAAGACAAATGAAATAACTCAATTTATATAAGACAATATTTATAAGCACTTTGTATAAGTACTTAGCGTAAGTGTAAAAAACCCATCTCTTATCGTTCAATGCGGACCATATGGCCAGCCAAATGGCTTACACATGACCACATCAGCAATGCACAAGTCCGCATATCCCACATATTTAGATACAAATTTATACTATACTATATGAAGTATCAGCAAGTGTGTGCTTCTGTTACGCATGTAAGAAAATTATTTCATTGAAAAATCATTTCGAGTAAATAAATAAGTATGTATTATGAATGAATATGAATTTCATGAACTCGTACCTTAGAAGCTCCGCACGCCAGCCAGGCTCACTGGAATGCGTTGGCCGAAACATCAGCATGGAGAGACGACTCAAATTGCGTTTGATCTCCGGCATTGTGAATGCGATTGGCGTTAAGAGGAAGCACATAAAAAAATATGTATTTGTATGTATATAGGTATATAGGTAGGTATAGATGTATAGGTAGACACAAGCGCGATTAAACTATATAAACAAACAAATGCATAAACGCATACAACCAAACAGTTTGCTTCTGTATTGCGGGTGGACGTTTTTGAATACTGATTATTATTATTATTTTTATTTTATTTTATTGTATAACTCTACGGTTCCATATGCTCCTTTGGCTGTTGTTGAATTTCTTTTATCTTGTTTTCCTTTTATCTATGCTTTTTGGTTATATAATATTTTGCTATGTACTAAACGTAAATTTCACTAATTTTTATATCACCAACTATGTTCTCAATTTTTTAATAATTAAAAAAAAATTGTTTGCTAATTTTTGTAATTTTTTTGGTTGCTGCTATTTTTTTATTTTTTTATTTATTTATTTTTTACAAAATTTGCTTTGGAAACGTTTTTATTTTTTTGCACCGTTGCTTTTTGCTCCAAATCACTACGTTGCGCTCAATTCATTATACCAAAATGTATTTACAATTTTTTTATTGTTGCAGTCTTATTGCATTCGCCCTTTCGCATGTTGTTGTTGTTGCTTGCAAATACTACTATATGTACCCGCAAATGGTTGTACACATGCTAAATTGCCGCTTATGAAGGCCAGCAATAAAGCAAACAATTGCTGCTGGTGCTGCTGTTGCTGCTGCTGCCGCTGCTGTTTACCTTACTGCCGCAATTTATGCGCCAGTAGTTTATTTTATTATTGTTGTTGTTGTTGTTAGCTATGTTAGCAACAATATTGTACTGATATTTGCAATTTTTATTATAAGTGCTGCTTTTGTTGACTTTGTTGTATCTGCTGTAACTTTTTCTGTTGATTTTAGTAANGCTAAATTGCCGCTTATGAAGGCCATCAATAAAGCAAACAATTGCTGCTGGTGCTGCTGTTGCTGCTGCTGCCGCTGCTGTTTACCTTACTGCCGCAATTTATGCGCCAGTAGTTTATTTTATTATTGTTGTTGTTGTTGTTAGCTATGTTAGCAACAATATTGTACTGATATTTGCAATTTTTATTATAAGTGCTGCTTTTGTTGACTTTGTTGTATCTGCTGTAACTTTTTCTGTTGATTTTAGTAACTAGCTTGCCTTTGTTGTTGTTGTTGTTGTTGTTGTTGATGTTCGTCTTATGCAACTGCACTGGCGCACGCTTCAATACACTGCACTTTATGCAAATTGTGCTGCTCCTGCTGCTGCTGCTGCTGCTGTAGTTGTTGTTTTGTTGATTGTTTTCACTATTGCTATTTCTGTAGCATGCTAATGATGTTGTTGTTTTTGTTGTATCACACATTTTCAGGCCAAACATTTTTTCATTGCTTCCACTTTGTGATTCTTTTTTTGCTTTTCTTGGTTACGAGTGAAATTTTTGCTTGGAATTTTGCACTATACGTAAGATTTGTTATGAACAATTTGAAAACAGTTACAAATGAATTCAAAGAAAAAAATATATATGCAGCCTTATGATGAGTTTCATTTTCCCTGAACTGGTTCACTTTGCACTTTTGGTTTCCATGTATTTCCATGAATTTTTTTCGGTCGAAACTCAGGAAAAGGCAGATTTTTTTTTTTAATAAACTCTATATCTTCGAACGCAATTNGCTATTTCTGTAGCATGCTAATGATGTTGTTGTTTTTGTTGTATCACACATTTTCAGGCCAAACATTTTTTCATTGCTTCCACTTTGTGTTTCATATATTTTCTTTCTTTTTCTTGATTTTCTTGGTTACGAGTGAAATTTTTGCTTTGAATTTTACACTATACGTAAGATTTGTACTGGAAAAATTATGAAAAATTTGTTACAGTTACAAATAAGTTCAAAGAAAAAAATATATGTATATGCAGCCTTATGATGAGTTTCATTTTCCCTGAACTGGTTCACTTTGCACTTTTGGTTTCCATGTATTTCCATGAATTTTTTTCGGGCGAAACTCAGGATAAGGCTGATTTCATTTTTTTTTTATAAACTCTTTCTATCTTAAAACGCAATCTAGAATGATGCAGATCTTTGATAGCAATTATTTGTGAAAACATGCAATATTTTGATATGCCCATCCTGAGCCGCAGACTATTTGGCCTACATGAGAGGTCTTCCGTTTTAGATTTGTCATTTTGCCGGCAGACATATCGTAAATTTGCTATCTCCGACTACATTATAATTTGACTAATGTATCTGATAAAATATATGCTTTTTGTACTCTTTGATATGTTATATTTTTTTCCAAAACCCCCAAGCCCCCTCAATCCCCTGCCCTTAAATGCAATATTTCGCTCTCTTCAAAGCTCTTAGCTAGGAAAAAAGTTACATTAATTTGAAAGGTATGTTCTTCAGCTTTTTTCTAATAAATATAGTTCCCTCAAAATGAAGCTACCCGAATCATGGTCAAACGGCCATGGAGTAATGGCATTGATTGATTTTTGCTTCTCATATAAATAAATAATTTTCGCAATAGTCTGTGTGATGGCGCCCATTTTTGGTTCCACGGATATATCCAAAAGAAAGATATCTGCTTTTGGAGTAAAGAGAATCCACGAGAGATCACGAGGCATCGATATATTCCCACAAAACTCACTGTTTAGTGTGGCCCACAAAGATTATCCGATTTAACGCCTCTATACTATTTTCTTTGGGGTTACGCGAAGTCATTGGTTTGTGCGAATGAACTGGAACAAACTTTAATGCCTTGAAATATTGTTTCTAATAAAATCTTTTTTCCGCGAAAATTATGTAATCTCTTTATTTTATTTCAGTGTAAAGTTCTATACCTCTAAAAAAAAATACGCAAAGTCCTTTTACTGCAACAATGGTAAGATAGATTTTGGAAAAAATCATCATATGCAAATTTCAAATATCGAACAAAAAACTAAACAAATTTTGGTGAAGAAATTTACTCAGTTCTTTATTTAATATTAAATTTTAGTCCTCCAAACCTTTAAATATTTGAAAAATTATGAATTGAGTTTAATACATACAGTGCCGGACAAAAGTTTTAGTACAGTGAATGTTTCGCCATATAAGCAAATTTTTTTTTTCTAATTTCATTCCGATAATTTTTTATAAAAATATAGTTCATTCTACACCAAAGAACATAAAAATTAAATCTAAACATTTTGCAAAATTCAATAAATTTGCGTACTAATTTGCAACTTTCCATTCAGATTTTTTAGAAACATTCTAAGTATGCAGTTCAATTATGGTATGTATAACAAATAGCAAATTTGAAGTTGCTAGAAAATCACGTTGATTTTGGCAATGGTTAAAAGGAAGGTGTTGCTCATGTTCTCCATACAAAAAGTAATTGTCGCACATACATACTTTGTAGGAAATTATTATACTAAAATTGAATCTGCTTTACAACTGCATACTTAGAATTTTTGTAAACAAATCTTAATAAGAAGTTCCAAATTAGTATGCAAATTTATTGAATTTTCCCGAGTTTTGCACAGAGTTTAGATATTTTATCTTTATGTTTTTTTTTTGTAGAATGAACTATATTTTTATAAAAAATTATCGAAAATAAATTAGAATAAAAAACCCTTGGTTTATATTGCGAAAAGTTCACTGTCCCAATACTTTAATATTTCGGATTGAGATTTTGTGTCATTTTTTAATTAAACTATATATGTACACGAAGGTGCCACTCAAAAAAATGTTGCGGATTTATAAAATTTATTATATTTTTGGGCCTATGCGAAAATACATATCTCGGAAATATATTAAGATTTACATGAGGTAGACCGTTTTTTAAATAAAGTTTTAAAAATTGATGTACAAACCTTTTAAGTTAAGACTATTCTATCAGCTGAAGTGATTTTTTGGAAAAATATTTTTAACTAGTAGATTGTATTATTATTATAGAAACAGGATAAAATGGAGAGTGATGCACCCTAATGTACAAATATTAGAATTTGTATTTATTTCATCATTTTCAAAATGGAAAATATTTTATTAGATACAAATGTTTCGTATTCAATTCTTTTTGTCATGTTTTGTTTTGCATTGCAATTTGTTATTCCTACGCTGTTTTTCGATAATCTTTTTTATTAATTTTTTTTATTAATTTTTTTTTCGATTCAACTTAGTTAGGATTTGTTCTCCTATTTGAACATAAATTTTCACTTTATGCACTTTTTTACGAGTAGGTACATAGAACGAACATATTATGTATATTTATTTCACCACAACACAGGTTAGAATTATTCGATTTTGTTGTCACTTAACTGAGCAAGAGTCTCCACAGTTGCAGGCACTTAGCAACAGAAACTAAAATATACATATTGTATGTGGTTAGGTACATACGAACTAAAATACATGTGTGCGTATGTACGTAAATGCATATGTATGTATCTACATAAACAAATTGCATGCCAATCTCAGCTGTTGCCACACACATTTGGTAATTTACTCATTTCCAATTTGTCACCAGAATCAAATGAGTACAAATGCGAAATGTTGCTGGTATTACTCAAATGTTGCTGACACAAATTAACATACAAACTATGCGAGTAGATTCTAAGCACATGCAAATTCACATGCATATGTATGCATGTATATAAATAAATAAGCACATATGGCTTTTGGAATATATTTTGAATACGAATGTTCGCCAGTTTTTTTTTTTTTTTTGAATTTTCGCAAACCACACGGCCACTTTCTGCGTAATTTCTCGCATATAATTTCCAAACTCTTCACTGTCACTAACCGATTGCGTATGAGCGGGGAAATGCAACAAAACAAAACGAACAAAATAAAAAAAGGAAAATTCGAGTACATAGGTACAAACAAATTGAAATTGAGTATTGACCACAATGCTACAAAACGAATGCTGCTGTTAAATTTTTATTTTTGTTGTGATCTCTGGCATTTTTGCTCTTTGTTTTTTTTTCTTTGCGAGCGCTAGAAATGCAAAAGCGCGTACTACAAAAAATGTTTTGCTTTTGTTTGCTGATTTTTCCTTTACGATTTAATTTTCATGATTTTGCGATTTTCTTGATTTTATGATTTTCCGATATTTGCGGTGGACTTTGTATATTGCCATTTACATCGTCGCGCATAATTCGCAAATTTTTCGCAAATTTTTGTTTCGTACGTTAAATATTTTACTCAAAATACACACATTTTCTAAAAGAAAATATTATGCTTTTTATAAAATTTTATGCTTTTTATAAAATTTTTGTTGCCGCAAAAATATTTTTTTCTCCACTGATTTTTTGTATTTTATTTATTTTTCAGCAAGTAACCAACTATTCATGCACTAAACGCACCTCTAACTGAGCACTCCAAATCAAAATAACCGTCGAATCCAACAAAAACCGTTACAAAATATCCATCGACACTCGAACTTTTAGACAAACAACGAAACCCCTTTTTCCCAATGGCTGTCTTCGCCTCTACGACGTACTTTGTATCTCCGGCTACTCAGCGCTACTGCGGGGCCGCTAAACGGATACGCGACGATTTATATTGAAAACTTTGTACCGCTGATGTTGACTGATATTTTCAGAGCTGTTGCTGCTCTGGTTGGTGAGCGTTGTCGGGTTGTATGGCGGCAGCTGTTGCCGCTGCTGCCTTCGACATCGCTGCTACTGTTGCGGTTGTGCCGCTGAGAGAGCGGCGAAATAAATATGCAACTCATACGCCGCAACGAATGTTATTTGTTTGTAGATTTTCTTTTTTATTTTTATATACTTTATTTAATATGCTATGGAACAAATGACTTCGCCTCATTATTTATATGCGCTTATTTACATTAGCTGCGCTGTATTCTCGTACGAGTTGAGTTGAGTATGCAAAATATAAGCTTTGTTGTTGCTGCTGTTATAAATACATACATACATATGTATAATATATGCTGTCAAATCGCAAATAAAAGCACCTTATGAAGGGGTGCGGGCACTCAGGTAATCGAGGTGGTAGCACCCAAAAAAAAAATCGAAAATTCAAACCGGCAAAACTAAGTACCTATATACTGCCAAATATTCATTCGCATTTCCAACAACCCTTCAAACAGGCAACCTAAAAACCAAATTAGCGAAATAATCAACCAAGCAAATGCATGTTTCGTATACGTACTTTTGTATGTAGTTGTATATACACTGGCCGACAAATGAAGGTGTACAACTTGTTCTAATATAATATTCACAATTATTTTGATGAATCAATTTTTGGCATTAATTATTTATGAAAATATAGTTCATTCTATAATATAAAATATAAAGATTAAAGTTTCACACTTTATATTAACTTCAAAAAAATTCTAAAAATTTTCAACAAAATTTTCAACTTTTTGTTTAGAATTTCTATAAAATTTTCGAGTATGCTGTTTTAGTCCAGTCATTTTTAATATGATGAAGTGCAAATTTCTAACGGCTAAAAAATCAGGTTAATTTTTGCGAATTTTTTTATGGCGGCATTTTCGTATGAAATAAAATTCAGGAGACCGTTAGAAACAATATTTCAAAAAATTAACGCCAGTTTTTGTAAACTACACTTGTTATATAAAAAAACGCAAAAGCAGTCTCGAAAAAAATATTTCAAAAACCAACACGATATTTTAGCCGGTTGAAACTTGCACTTCATTGGATTAAAATGGAATGGGCTACAAAACTGCGTACTCGATAATTATCTAGAAATGCTGATTAAAAAGTTGAAAATTTTTTAGAAATTTTTTTGAATTTTTTTGTGAACTTTATATAAAATGTGAAGCTTTTACAAATTATTATTTTTTTTTACTTTTATTTAATTACTCCTAAATAAGCGTTGTTTCTGACTTTTATTTTATAAATCCAAAATAACAATTATTTTTGATTTTTATCTAAATAATCTGCAATTAACAGTTATTTTTGATTTTTAAATTATGTATATGTCTTAGATAACAGTTATCGATGACTTTTATTTATATATATTGTATATTGTATAATTCGTAGTAAACTTTTATTTCCCAACACCTTCTTAAATGCGAAAAATGCTTGTGACTTTTATAAGAATGATTTAAAAAATAAATGTCGGTGACTGATTTATATTGATGACTTTTAAAAGTAAAAGTCACTGACTAATTTTTGTTGATGACTTTTATAAATAAAAGTATTCAATAACTTTTATCTAAGACATATAATACAAAAATTAAAAATAATTGTTATTTTGGATTTCTAATATAAAAATCAAAAATAATTGTTATTTTTTTGTAATTTTACATAAATAAAAATTTATTTTCAAAAATGTGTATCGGTGAAAAAGTAAATCGATTGGTATGTATCCCTCAGTTGTAAAACATTTTCTGCATAGTGAATTTTTCCGGTCGCTGATATTTTCATCAATAATTAATTGAAAAAAATTTGCATGAAAATAATTTACATTGTTTTAGAAGAAGGTCTACACTTTCATTTGGCGTCTAGTGTACCTACATACATACTATCTAGCTATGAAGAATACATCAAACGTCACACAAGCGCGGCAGATGTGCTATATACATATTACTTTCGCAATATGCTGTTGTTGTTGACAATATCACAATTACAGAGCGTGTTGCTGGACGGAAGCATTGCTGTCAGTTAAGTGCCAGCTGATATGCTCAAAGTTGAAATTGGCGGTCAAATGTGGGCCCTGCAAGCGCACGCGCATAAAATAAAAAAATAAAAAAATGAAATAATCTACAGTCTTGCCGTGATATATGAATGCATGCTCAATCGGCAATGAAATTACTTGTAAACAGCTACTCTGATGTAAACGAGTAGCAACCAGAGCTAAGGACTCGCTCACGGTGCGCAGGAAGCTACGTTGCGGAAAGGACCGCTCGAGTGGCAGTACCTTTGCATTCTCTTGGACTGCTGTCAGAGCCTCGCTTCAGCTCAGCGAACACTGATCTAAAATCAGGGCATGTGCAACTGCACGATAATTCTGGCTAAATGTTTACCGTAGTACATCAAGGAACCCTCCTGGACTCAACTACACTGTAGGTACTAGGAATGTTCATCCCGGGATCGCGGAATTTTTAGGTCCCGAAAATCCCGGCATTCTTGGCAAATAATGCAGTGAAGTTTCTCTCAATAATATGTTAAGGACATATATAAAATCGATAACATCCTCGAATTTCGTCCTTCTAATTTTATCAGCTTAAAAAGTTACCTATTCATCCTTGTGTATCCAAAAAAATTTTAATTTTTTTTTAATTCTAAAGAAATGTCCTCTTTTTGTTCCACATTGCCTTGAATTTTTATCATAATTTTTGGAATTGTTCATATCTTTGAAATTGCAAACTATTTTAAAATAAATTCTGACGTCAGAGAGAAAAAATAAAAACGCCACTTTAAATAAAAAAGTAGATTTCAAACCCATTTATTTATGATTTAATTTATGATTTAAATTATTATTTAGGAGAATGCGAGTGTGCAAATGGCAAATAGCTCTCCTTATCTTTTTCGTTTTTTTCATGATAGCTACTTATCAAAGCGTCACCACGATTTAGTTGGGTTGACAGATTTTGGCGGCAGACCATGTGGCTTATCTATCGCAAATAAATGAAGCCATTTTTAACTTCTTTTAGTATTTATTTAAATTGTTAAAACTTTTTGTTTGATAGTTAATTTGGATTGTATGTACAATGTGATTTTTGGTTATCTTAAGTTTTCATTTAAGCCATTGCGCGTGATGGCTACATTTGTATACTATATATGTCCATATGTATGTAGATATGTATATAGTTACTATAAAGCAATTCTTAGGTACAGGAGACTCATGAAATAAGGATTTCTATGAGATTTAGTGAAGTTGTTTTTTTACCTTGCATTCGACTTAGTTTCTGGTCTCCTTTCTTTTCCATCCCTTTCCAATTTTCTTTTTTCTTCTTTTTTACTTTCCTTGTATTTTTTTACAATACTTATTTATAAGTAATCGGTTTAAATTAGCAGGAAAATCATTTAAGCTGGCATCAATTAACCGCCGAATCCTATAAGCGGGAAATTTCAATGATGTTTTATTTACTCATCAAACTTCAAGGAACGATCGCAGTGTGCTGCACTGGAACTTTCCCAAAACACCTGCAGCTACTATGGATGCACTGCTAAGCCTACCGTCAGTTAGTATTGTTATCCACGGGAGGACCTTATGGTCATATGTAGGCTTAAAAGATAGTGCTGGTATGATACAGTGTGGAGTGGAGCTGACATTGCTGGATTTCGAGATTTAAACTTGAATGTATTTTCAATTCCACAGGACAATACGCCACCGTTGGCTTGGCTGAATAGATACATATGTTGAGTTCCCTTATGCTGAATGCTGGCTTTATTCCAATACTAAGCCCCGGCTAAAACATTGTAGAGTCTTGGCTTGACTCCAAAAGTGACGCATGATCAGGATCTGGAGTCTGTAGTGAAAGTAACAGGGACAGTCTTTACTTCTCTATTTGGGAACATGCCTCAGTACTTTAAGCCGAAGTATTTGCAATCCTCAAGGTCATAGGCTACGTTGTGGCAATTAGATAGAGAAGCAGTAGTTTAGGTTAGGTTGGGTTATGCTGGCTTAACATAAGAGGTCTCACATAGGCGAATATAACGTCCATAGCGTTGCCAGTTTTGTTTACGACCTGTGAATCAATGCTTTCACGCAATGTTAAAGAGCACTGCCGTTCCTTTAGCGAATTTCAATAGACACTTTGCTTCTTTGTCGATTGCTGCTTGTAGGCTTTGCAGCTATACCCTGCCGAGTAACGCAAGTCTTTGCCTGCTGAAGGCTGGACACTGGCAAATTTTATGCTCCACGGTTTCCTCGTGATAGTTACGTTCCCTATTACACATAATTTTTGCAAGTTTGCAAACGCGAGTTCTTTTCCAAAGCCTATCCGCTTGGCGGTACATGTTCAGATCTTTTGATTTCGCCAGGATGAATTGGTATGTTCGTCATTAGTGAGGCGTCTAAGAGGCCAGTCAGCTCTCTTTACCTATCACGCCCTTGTGTCCTGGCACCGAATATTGGTAGACGGTTTTAGCCAAGGCAAGCCTTCTTATAAAGTAGATCCTTAATGCCCGCCTGACTATCTATGTAAATATTTGTTTGCTCGCTTGTCGGTTTAATTTCATGTATTATCTCTGCCGCTTGCTTTATTGGAAAAACCTCAGCTATACCACTACCGCCAGAAACTGGGTTAATATTTTGCTGAGCAATGACAGGGGGCTGCCGGTGGACAATACTAATGTTGCCTTCAATCTCTTCTTCATAGGTATTTGCTTTTATTGACGAGATAGGAATGATGACTGGTCACTTCTCTTAGTATAAACAGCCGACTGTGTGTGAATAAGAACCCCACTTGCCTTCTTGCCTTGAAGAGGATGAGACGGCGGAACGATCTTTTGCTTCTGCCTCGCCGTTGCAAGGATTAGGTATGAGGCTTTTGGCAGTGATGCTACTATTTATTCGTAAATCGGGTATATTCAAAACAAATTAAAAGGGAACACGTAAACCGTACAAACGACGG